TTTAGCAATACAGAGATTAATATGCAGTCTTGGTGTGTTTTAACAGAGACTGGTTTCCCGCTCTTGTGCATCTCTTGAAACCCTTCCAGTTTTGAAGAACAGCTAAAGGGGGCAGTGTTTCTAAATGCAAGAGAGAACTTTTTTTAAAGTAATGATTCGAAATGTTTTATTTTTTTATTTTGAGGATGTGTAAAAAAAAGAAAAAGCAAGTATATTGATAAAAGAATTTACAGCACCCAAAAAAAGAGGAAAAATGAAAAAAAAAAAAGTTTTTATCTCTTAATAAACATTTATCTTTTAAAAACCCTTCTGAGTGTGGTGAACATTTGACATTCAGAATTTGTAAAATAGTTTTACACCATTGTACTATTTCTTCAGTGTTTGGTTTTTAGTTATATAAAACAAGGTAGTGCTTTCTTTGGCTTAAATTCCGAGTATAAACTCCCCATGTGTTTTTTCTCCTGACCTCAGCATCTTTCACCACGGTAAATATAGAATTTTTGGCTGCCTACCATAACCTACAAATAAAAAAACGCAGTATAGGCATACTGCTGGTGAATGGAAGGAATGATTGATTGTCATGGGACTGTTGGTTCTTAGAGGAACAAATTATCTCAAGATGACAAAAAACGATTCATCTGGGCTTTTCTGTGCAGCATCATTTCAGCTGTTTTGCCTCATGACTCTAATCATCCCTCTAAAGCAGGGGTGGGCAAACTTGGCCCTTCCAGGCCACTTTCCTTCAGAGGTTAGCTCCAACCCTAATCAAACACACCTGAACCAGCTAATCATTGTCTTCAAGACTACTAGAAGGACAGGCTTATCAGGGTTGGATCAAATCTCTGCAGGAAATTGGCCTGGAAGGGCCAAGTTTGCCCATCACTGCTCTAAAGTGACTCTTTTTTTCATCATGTTAAACAGGATTAGCATCCTGTGACAATCCTGCATTGAAAGTGGTTGTATAATTCACATAGTGAGCAAAAGTGATCCTGTGTGTTCGTGTTGTACAGCTCAACACCTACAATTCACTTTTAAAAATAGCCCTCGGTTTTCTCAGGTGTTGAAAAGCATGTTTACAGAAGAAAAGGATAAGACAGAACAGCATCTTAAAAGCACTGGCTGTTTATCAACTCACCGGTAGAATAATGTCACCAGTAAATCACCGACAGAGACACGGGCTAAATCAGGTCCTGTGGGAGAGAGCAGAGTACATTTTAACCCAGCTTACCTCTGCGCTACTTGGACATGATGACTGCAGGATGTGACAGGTGGAACCTTTGTCTTCCTATTGAAAGTCTTTCAAAGACGTATTTACGCATTTCAGAGCAACTTTTGCAAGGGCAGTGTGTTGATTCAGCAGGCGTGTGATCTCACTTGATGTCATTACTACTTTACTTGCAGCCTTTGCTTAAAAAAATAAGAAAGCCCTTAATTTCGAACTTGGAACAAAAGGATAGAAACTTGTTTGACAGATTGCATAAGCCTCAGCTGAAGAAAATTCTACTTTTTACATAATCATTCTTACAATGTTGCAAGAAACAATTTCTGTAACAAATATGAAAGATTTGTTTTAAAAATCGCCTCCGAACTTAAGTGAAATTGAATGAATAATTTTACACAGGAGTGTTTTTAGAAATGTAAGAATCCGTGGCCTCACAAATTTACATTTGAAGTGCTCAAACACATTGAATTTGACTCCGAGTGGTGGATTTTACCTCTTTTATTCAGTTGTTTTTAGAAAAGGATATCATTAGCACATTCCTGTATTGATTAGGAATGGGTCTCAACACCAAACCAGTCTAGCCAAAGCGGAATAGACTTGATTATTGGTTCTCTTTCTCCATTGTGCTTCAAATACGCTGTGGAAACAGCAAGGTTTAGAGTTCATACAAAAATACTGTACAGAGAATAGAACTTTCATATTACACATTCAAAAATACACATTAATATCAATGCATACATTAATCAGGAATTCAAAATGCATAGGGATGAACACGTTTGGAGCTCTATAAAGCTTATGTAAAATCCTTTAAAAGCCTTATCTGGTCTCAATATTGCACGTATAAAAGGAACCCCATTGTCTTTCCTCCTGGAATAGTACATACAACATGTTAAAATACTTACACTGAACAATACCATGGTTAAACGTCTCAGAAATGAAACTGTCCCTTCTTTGAGACTTCACTTACTTGCCTGCAATGTGATGACCTGTAGACAAAATGTGGTCTACTGTACCACAAAGTAGATCCAAAAAATAAAGGTCTTCTTTTTTTGTAGTCATCTTTTAGAGGCAGTTAGTAGAGTTACGCAACCGACAGGAAGGTGGTGGGGAGAAAAACACGAAAACTTAAAGGGGCCTAGGAGCAAGCCCTGGGTAGACTCCTAATACGATGGGCCTGAACAGAGACTCTGATTGTTCAACAAAGTCTTGTAGAACAATGAGTGCTTTCTACTTTACTGCAAATAGATTTTGCTTGTGCTTCCAACATGGTAGTAAAGACTGCAGGGTGAGGAAATAAATTCACCTAATCCACAAATAATTACAGGGTATAAGTGTTTTGGTGTGGACAGGACCACACTGAAGGAGAATAACCCCCAAAATCAGACTTTTAAGTGTGGGAAAACTGCTTGAATCACACAAGGGAGGAAGTCCTGAATGAGGGGGAAAAACAGGATATAGCTGAGCTGAGCATTGCTTCTGGTTATTAGGTGAATCAAGAAACATAAGTCTGCAACCTATACAGAGACAGATATAGCTTTCATCAGTCCATGTGGGTAACCTTTTAGTGTTTTAAGGAGTACTTTACCACAAAATGAAAATTATTTGAGTCATTATTTACTCACACTCTTAAAAATAAAGGTTCTTTATTGACATTGATGGTTCCATAAGGAAACTGTAACATCCACGGAAATGTTCCATTCCATAAAAGGTTCTTTACAGTGGAAAAATGTTTTTAAGAATATATGATGTCATTTATTCTCTGCAAAAAAAAATTTTTAAATCCATGCCGCTCATTTTCATACAACAGTTCATAGTGACCTTGTCCATCAAGTTGCAAAAAGCACATATGAATTGGCAATAATTTTGGTAAAGTAAATAATGACAGAATTTGGATGAACTATTCCTTCAGTTAATAAGTTGGATTAGAAAAATGATACATTTCTTCATCCAGGATAAAAATACTGTGTAGGGTCTGTCCCAACTATGTATACTGGAATCGTAACCCAATTAAAGACAATTATTTTTATTTTTTTTGAGTATTTAGAACACAGTGTTCCCATGCAAAAAAATTAATCATTTGCCTTAATAAAAACACTTCTTGATCTCCAAATCTAGCCAGGAAGCATTTTAACAGTGTTTTTTGAGAAACCCAATTAAAGACATAGTTTTTTTTTTTTTTTTTTTTTGAATATTTGAAGGAAATTTACGTTTTTTTGATATTTGAAAATTCATAAAGTAACAGGGTTGCACACAAAATGCAGGACAAAGCTAAATATTCTGGTAGATAAAATTTGTTAATATTAAAAATTATTTTGACTGCAATTAATAGTACAACAAATTTAATGTAGCATATTGTGCAAAATAACATGACTAAGTATTAAAAAAACTAATATTTTAAATGAAAAATGACTGATGTGTTTAAAACCATGTACGTGCCATTTTGTGTTATATAATATTTTATGTAACATATCTAATCAACCTCATGATTGAGAGAGAGATATATATATATATATATATATATATATATAATGTGATTTTCTGTCTATTGCAATAAAAAAGTAATGGCACACTAAAATACACCCTATTCATGAAAAATGCATCATACTCCTGTGAAATAAGAAATGTGTTGTTGACAGAGAGGTTGTGAAGTCTTTGTTGGCAATATCAAACAGCAACTTTAGTTTTAGAGCAGCAGGCAGTCACCATGTGCATTATCATGGCACTCGTGGCCTGAAGCACTTGTGTGTATGTTTGTGTCTGACACAGAGGCAAATTGAAGTTTATTTGTAGGGAGTCTATAATGTTTATGCGTTTAGGGAACAAAGAATGGTGGTGTTTTGTCTGTTTATAGTAGTAGTGTATGTGTTTGTGAGAAAGGACAATGTGTGCCTGAAGGTATTCCTACAGTGACTCATCCAGGACTAAAACAAAAATAAAGCTTAATTTGTAGTTTGTTTTGGAAGTAAAAACACTTGCTACTAGAAATTGGAAACATAAGAAACATTTAAAAATGTTTACGTCTAATGGCGATCTACATCAAAAGCAGAATTCTTTTTCTTTTTTGTAAACGTTTGGACACAGTATGTTTTTATCCGAGAGAAAAAAAAATCGAAACAAAAATTAATAAAATAAAACCAAACAAAAAAAAGAAAAGAAAAGAAAAAAAAAACTGTAAGGGGAAAAAATCTACATCTTGGCCACAAATTAAGAATTAAATTAAATGTTTCCTCGTTTTAGCTGAATGCAGTCACATTACACTAATTCATACCTTCGTTTAGACCACGGTTTACCAAAACAAGGGAATGAATTAGTACTACGTGGCCATAACTTACTAAAACAAGAAAATGAATCAGTACTATCTGACCATGTTTTAAAATAACAAGGGAATGAATCAGTAGAACATAACCACGGTTAACTGAATCAGTACATTGTGGCCACGATTTACGAAAACTTGGAGAATAAGTCATGAGAATTAATTCTTATTTTGTGGCCATTATATTAATATTTTCCCCCCATATCATGTGCTAGGCTCCATAGTAAAAAAAAAAATTTTGATGGGCGAAGTCCATGTATGGTGTATGCATTGTAGTAGTCCAATATTTTTGTTTTGTTTTGTGCTGTTTTTAAAAAACTGGCTCAGATCCTTTCGAGTTTTGTACTGAAAACTGGCTCAAATCTTTTGTTGTACAGTTTCCACGATCACTCCTTATAATCTGGATATTTCAGTTCATTTGAGTTTTGTAATGAAACCAGTGAATCATGGCTCCTAATCAGTACATTGTGGCCACGATTTACGAAAACTTGGAGAATAAGTCATGAGAATTAATTCTTATTTTGTGGCCATTATATTAATATTTTCCCCCCATATCATGTGCTAGGCTCCATAGTAAAAAAAAAAAATTTGATGGGCGAAGTCCATGTATGGTGTATGCATTGTAGTAGTCCAATATTTTTGTTTTGTTTTGTTCTGTTTTTAAAAAACTGGCTCAGATCCTTTCGAGTTTTGTACTGAAAACTGGCTCAAATCTTTTGTTGTACAGTTTCCACGATCACTCCTTATAATCTGGATATTTCAGTTCATTTGAGTTTTGTAATGAAACCAGTGAATCATGGCTCCTTCTGATAGTCTGTTGCAACAAATGGTCCGGTGTGGTCATAGTCTGAGTTACCCAGTGGTCACAGGTCTAGCGTGCTGGTCTGGTGCTCACGGGAATGGCCTACGGGGTTGAAGTGTGGCTGGCAGTCGTGGGGCTGGGCAACACCCAGCTGTGCTAATGGGTTTCGGCTAATCACCAACTCAAGTTTGTCTCCGGCCTCTGTGATGAGGGGCACAGCTAAGCAGCAGTCGAAATCTCGCGTCCGCACGTGGTTCACCTGGTGGAAAAATATTTAGACATCGAATTCAATACACTAAAGTAGAAAAATGTAAGATTAATTACATAATTATAAATGGCAACATCTTTATGAAGGGCCTCCTTTGTTTAGCATAAGAGTCTAAAAATTACATTTTGAATTCTCCTGACAACTAAGTGAAATAAAACAAGTACCAAAATTACTAAAACTAAAAACTGGAATAAAAATAAAGCTAAAAGGAAATATATTTAAAAAACGATAGCAAATTACAAAAGCACATAACAAAATTACTAATACTAAAATGAAAACTGAAAATAACAAAAAAAAGAAATAAATTCAAAAGATGAATAAATACTATAATAGTATATAAATAACACTGACGTTAGCATCTCATTAGCATATGCTAAACAACAGAATTTGGTGATTTTAGGACAAAATATTTTAAATCAAACTTTTTTCTTAAATAATGCAAAAAAGTGCAAACAAAACGCAAGCAAACAAACAAATATCAAATCATAAAGCAACTCCCAGGATATGTCCGTTTTTCTTGAAAATAAATCATGAGTATCATAACTTCTTGGTTTTGACTTAAAAAATAAAATAAATAAAACTGCATAAAGTATCTTCAGAGGAAAACACATTTATAAGTTTAAAACAGCGGAAAAAAGCACCTACAGTATAAACAAATGAGGATTTAATGACAAAATATTTTGAATGAAATTTGTTTTCCAAAATACTGACTTCATGGTTTCAATGTTCTACAGAATTTTATTTATGATTTTATAGACTTAGTTTTTTAGCAACTTTGGTCAAATGTTTGCATCTGTAAAATAATTTTCATCATACTAACATTAATGTAACTTTATACGGGCTTTATCTGAACCAGAATTTGTTCTGAAATTTTCAACCCATTATTAAATATGAAAACAAACATACAAAACCAGACACCATAAAGCAAGCACCTACAACTATGGTTGCAACTGTGGCAAAATTACTAATACTAAAATGAAAACTGAAAATAACAAAAAAAAGAAATAAATTCAAAAGATGAATAAATACTATAATAGCATATAAATAACACTGACGTTAGCATCTCATTAGCATATGCTAAACAACAAAATATTTTAAATCAAACTTTTTTCTTAAATAATGCAAAAAAGTGCAAACAAACAAATATCAAATCATAAAGCAACTCCCAGGATATGTCCGTTTTTCTTGAAAATAAATCATGAGTATCATAACTTCTTGGTTTTGACTTAAAAAATTAAATAAATAAAACCGCATAAAGTATCTTCAGAGGAAAACACGTTTATAAGTTTGAAACAGCGGAAAAAAGCACCTACAGTATAAACAAATGAGGATTTAATGACAAAATATTTTGAATGAAATTTGTTTTCCAAAATACTGACTTCATGGTTTCAATGTTCTACAGAATTTTATTTATGATTTTATAGACTATAAAACCAGACACCATAAAGCAAGCACCTACAACTATGGTTGCAACTGTGGTTAACACACCACAGCTGTTAAATATAATCTTTAGACAGATTTAATCATTTCCACAGCCAGTGAAGTGTGGCAGATTAGCGAGAGGGGGACGCTCTCTAAGATTTGACCACAAGTGCTGTGTAGCCACGCAGAAGATCCAGCCGAATCACTTTTTAACTCGACATGTCCTCCCAGAGTCAAAGGCCTATTGAATGCTCTCATACCTCATTCTGGCCCTCTCAGAGTGAGTTTATATTTAACCGAGCTGGGCAGATCATATAGCTGGGGAAAGGGAGGGGACGCAGGGAAACCAGCTAGTGGTGATCTGAGAAGAGGCACCTGAAGGATCCTGTCGTACGGTTTGAGTCCAGCACGGTCCGCCGGACCTTCAGGCCTGATCATGTTCACGCAAACACCCTTTTCCAAGAACCCGTCCGATACGCTGAATCCAAAGTCATCGCTCTCTGGGTCCTTCATCACAGTCACCTGTAATTGTGTAACACAAAATTATTTGAACAATTCAACTATGAGCTAATGTATTCTAAATATGTTCAGAAGATGATGTTGAAGTCTTAAAGGAATAGTTCACATAAAAATAAGTCCTTAGGCTATAAAAACACTATATCGATCTATCTTAAATTAAACATTTCATTAAATGATTTAATTTAATTAAATAATTTCTTATGTTTTTGTCATGTTGTCCAGTAAACAATTCTTGAGAACCAAATATGCAGAATATTATATTCTTAATATCTGATGCAACATATTTTCAAGTAAATTAATCTTATTTTAAAGATAATATAAAAAAAACTATGCATTTACTTACATCTACTAAACAAAAATCATAAAAACAAGACAAAAAATGAAGCAAATCAATGAAAAGCAAAAAACAACTAAAGCAATAAATAAATAAACACAACCGAAACTAAACTAAAAACAAAACTCCAAAACAAAATCTTTAAAGCAATTCAATCCGTGTATCATTCAATCATTCGTTTTTTTATTTCATATTGAAAAGTAGAAAAATTAGAAAACGGATCCTTTTTCGTGTTTTAGTTTTTTTCCCAAAAAACGAAAAACGAGAATTCAGCTTAAATTTTCGTTTTTCGTTCATGGGTGGAAAAATGAATAAACAGCTTGAATATTCGATTTCTACAAGTGGGCGGGAATTAAACGTCCCTTTCTGCTGATTGGCCAGCCGAAGATCAAACAGAATACACAGCAGAATAATAGTCCTCCACTGCTGCAGTTGTATGGATTAATAACCCATTTTATTGCAACTACATTTCATATTTTTCTCATCAAACAGACTAATGAATAGCTCGACACAACTCGTACAGGGGCAGAGTCTAGACAGGTCTTTCTTCTGTGTAGACCAATGGTTCTTAAAGTGATAGGGGGTCCGAGAAATAATTTGCTATAGCCTAAAGTATTTCCAAACTGTAAAGTGATTTTTTTTATCATGATACATAGGCCTACTGTGATTTATTCCAAAGTGAATTATGATGCATTTAATGCTTATATGAAGCCTTTTAAAAGAGAGTATTCCCTGTGGTTGATGTTTGTGGCATGTGCCAGAAAGATGCTCAAGAAGACAGAGACGCGCTAAAGCAGCGCATTCTGTTGTTCTCTTTATTTTTCAAAGGCATGACATTTTGTAGTTATTTTGAACGTAACGTTACACAAATAAAAATACAAAAAATTTACCAAACGACTATAAATGACAGAGTATTAAGTTATTTCCCCTCGATGGGGAAAAAAATCCAAGTGAACATCAATCAGTACTCAATATTAATTTAAACTGCTTTAAATATGATGCTGCTTATTTCCTGTGCACTTCAATACTGGTCTGCGCTTGACTGTAGTCTGTCTGCTTATTGAGTTTATTTAACCCATCGCAATTTATTGGAAATGTGTGAACTAGAGTGAATATTCACCTTAATGTTGTTATAAAGGCTTATTACTTAATAACACAAAAATGTCCTGCTCGTACTTGCCAATTTAATGGCAGAGAATGGTGACTTTATTATTTATTTTTATTTTTTTAAGCGGATGCATATCTGTCGTAAAATAATCCTATGCATCTCGTGGCGTATATTCCAAGCATTCCAAGTGAGAAACAAACTGAAATTGCAAGTTATTATATTTTATGAAAATCTTGCAGTGCGAGTGCGCAGCAGCTCACGCCGCGCAAAAGTGCATATCCTTTTGAGATATCAATTATAATCAATTTTACACAATACTGCATTATATAACTCTAACAGTAGGCTATTTAATATCTGCTGTTCTCCGGTTGTCAGTCAGAATGGCAGTTCTTGCGTGAACATAGGCCTATATATATACCCAAGCCAATTTATTATTCTTTCCTTTTTGTCTTAGTGTTTAAAATATTTATTTTGAAACGAATTAATTAATTACTTAAACAGACTTACTGGGTGAGCAGGGTAGGCTAAGACAGCTGTCATATCATACCCTGCCATGCCCAGCTGATGCAAAGAATAGAATTTATATCTACACAGAAGAAAGTCCTGCCTAGACTCTGCCCAGGTATGAGTTGTGTCGAGCTATTCATTAGCCTGTTTGTTTGATGAAAAAAGACTAAATGTAGTTACAATAAATGCGTTAAGAATCCATACAACTGCAGCAGTGGAGGACTATTATTCTGCTGCGTGATACTGCAGAAGAACTGATGACAGCACGGTTTGATCTTCGGCTGACCAATCAGCAGAAATGGGCGTTTAATTCCCCCCCACGTGTAGAAATCCAATATTCAAGCTGTTTATTCATTTTTCCACCAAAGAACGAAAAACGAAAATTTAAGCTGAATTCTCGTTTTTCGTGTTTTGGAAAAAAACGAAAATACGAAAAAGGAGCCGTTTTCAAATTTTTCTACTTTCAAAACGAATGATCGAATGATACACGGATTCAATTCCTAGGACATGTCGATTTTCCTCTAAAATAATCAAACCAAGCGAAACAAAAACTAAAGCAAAACAAACAAACAAAAAAAGAAAAATAAGTAAAATCAAATCAAAAAGCAAAACAAATAAAAAACACAAAGAAAAACAATAAATAAATAAAAACAAAACAATTAAGCAAAACAACAACAACAACAACAACAAAAATCTTCAAAGCAATTCCCAAGACATGTCAGTTGTCATCTAAAATAAACAAAGCAAAACTAAACTAAAACAAAGCAAAACAAAACTAAGAAGGAAAACTCCAAAACAAAATCTTTAAAGCAACTCCCCGGATATATCAGTTTTACTTGGAAATAAAACATGGTTATGCTGATGCGACATATCTGTGCATATCATAATTTACGGGTTTTGCATGAACTTCATGAAGTATCTACAGAGAAAAATAAAATTCTTAGCATGAAAGCAAAATTTCATGCTAAACCACATATAAAGCACCTACAGTATTAACCTAAGAGGAGTGAAAGATGAATCTCCCTGCCCTTTCCCAGGGACATTTTCAGAGAAGATAAATACTCCCAGTGGTTACTAATACCAACCATGCTGACCAACACTTGAATCCACATACTGTTCAACTGTGTGTTCAACTTATGCTGTGAGTTCGCTTACCTTGTGCAGCTCTAACGGTGTGGGCGACAGGATGTCCTGGATCTCTTCTTTGATCCTCCGTGACTCCCAGGTCTTCTCGGACATACGGAGCGTGCTCTTGTTCTTGGTTTCGTTGAGGAGATGTGGGGCTTTTCTCAGAGGGCTGAGGTGAGGTTGGCTGACCGTCTCGCCGTGGGCCTTTCCACCCTCTACACCCAAACTCAGGGCGCTGCCGGTCATTATTGACGCCTACAGGTGGAAAACAACCACAAACATTGATTCCTGCCTTCTCACAAGCCAATGTTCCCCAGTGCGTTGAACTCTGTCATGGAAAGGGCCTTTAGGCCACATTGTTTTAATAGGGAGCCTCTGATTGGACTCCCATTAAGCAATTGTCTCATTTAATAAAACCCTATTAACCAGAAGACGTGAAGCCCATCCTCATTTACCTTTAATGAGCTCCAGATCCATTTATTTCCAATGAGCTGTGACTGAAATGTGTGTTAATTGTGAGTTACGGCATTTGTGACTCTTTGAAGCTGTAATTCAATGGGTTTTACTAACTCAATCCAATACACATAGGATCAGCGTGGATCTCCGCTTATGAAATTACTTTCAAAACGCAGTTAGTGTACAAGAAATTGCAGATTACTTGGAAAGCTGCAGCCCATTATGCCACATGACATAATTTGAGATTTGTGCTGGCTTGCACTTACAGTAATACGTGATTCTGGGAACGTAACTACAACAGATACTTCTGTAAAGTCCCTCAGAAACCACAAAGCAGCAATTTGTTTCCTGACTTGTTTTACTTTTAGTTATTCAACTTTATACTCCCTTTGGATCTGCCTTATCTCGCCTTTGTCCTCCCAGCATTGCAACACCTCTGTTTTTGAATGAAAAAGCTTTTTTTTTGGTGGCAAATATATATAAACTAGTTAGCTAAACTTCAGTTAGTTGCTAGGGTAACATTTTGTTTAGTTTAAGTGCTAAAATACACTAAAACGGAAATAAATGGAAAACTAAAAAAAACTTCAAAACAAACAAAATACTACAAATCACAAAAACTACTGCATGTTTAATAAAATTTAAAATAAAAATGAAAAATATATTTTAAAAAGTTCACCTTCACTGAAAAAAAGAGGTGTAGAAACTACTTTCATTTAGAAATTGATTGCAAATTTCACAATTACAAAGAAATGGCAAGTAACACATGGGATTGAACTCTACATTTTTAAGTAGAAATACTAAAATAGTGTTTTTCTTGCCAAATGTACTCCAATCATCTTTTAACATAGTGTTCATGTCGTCCCAAGCCTGTATGACTCGCTTTATTCTGTACAGCACAAAAAGAGACATTGTGAAGAATGTCCTGGCTCCTCTTTTCCATAAAAAAATTACAAGAAGTTCTGCCATTTTAAAAACCAAATATTTCAAATAGAATTTATATGAATATGAATTTATAGATCTAAATGTACAAACACTTTAAAATATATTAAAAAATTACAATTATTTGTATATAAAAATAATAGTTTAGTTTAAGTTTTAGCAACTTTTTATATGAATTGCAATTTTTCATCAGTGTTAATTGTTTTTGAAATATTTCTAGTTAACTTTAATTTGTCAGAATTTTAGTACTTCAATGAAATTATGACTTAAATTAAATAAATATGAATTTTTTTCCTTGGCAACTAACTCAAATAAGTGTAAGTTTTTCACCTAATATTTATATTTTATTTCATTTCAGCATTATTTTATAATTGTACATTTCCATTTAGAAGAGACAAAACATCTCCTTCTGTGTTCCACGGAAAACAGAAAGTCAAGTATCGATGAAGAAACATGTCATCCATGGCTGACCTCGCTAGCCAGTGTCATCAAACATCTGATAAAAACACTTCCCCATGCTTTCCTAACTCTCCTAGGTTGGTTGTGTAAGAACAGAGCTCACTGTTTTGAGCAAGCAGGCGTGAAATGAGCCATCAGTCAGTATGCAGAGACTTTGTGTGATTTTGTGGTAGCAGGAGTGTAGTGATTGGTGATTTGGGAATTCCAACTTAAAAAAAGGGAATTCACAAGAATGACCTGCGAATGCTGGTGGCGGTGTGTATTTGCATTCGCTGTCTGTGGTGTTTTAGCACTCGACTCACTACAGGAATTATGTAAATAAGGTAAGGGTACAAACACAGGCCAGAAAATGTGCTGTACTTTTACGGAACAATTCCTCATCTTGCAGGCCAGATTTGAGTGCTTGGTTGTGGAGGACGCGGCAGACTACCACAATCTGACATTATTTACTGGGACTGTACAGCATTGCTCAACCGCTGAATTCCAAAGAGGGTTTGAGTCATTCTATGAAGCATGTGCCTTTTATTTATTATCATTATTATCATTATTATTTTATTTAACACACTTAAAGACAAAGAATACATAATCTCAAGTTTAATTATAAAAAAAACAATGTTTTCAAATTTGTCCTCCTACCTTTAAGCATGACTTTTCTATAAAAAGTAGAAAAATACTGTTATTTTTTCTGTTGTTTGTTATTTGTTGTATATATAATAACAATTTAATACACTTTCTCTTCATTCTCTTCATTTAAAATAACAGATCAATTTTGAGATATATAAGTAAGATGGAGAAGGCTTAAAACAGAATAATTAATTGTTTTTTTTCTTAATTGTTTTAGCATGAATGGAATTTTTTTTTTTACAAAAAGTTCTGCCATTTTAAATACCAATAATTCAAATATAATTTATTTGACTAGATATACAGACATGTAAAAATTTATATAAAACATACATTAAAATATTTATATAAAAACAAGCTTTTTATATATTTTTAGATTTCACTTTAATTTTAGTTTGTTTTAGCAATCTTGTTATGAGCTTTGTCCTTTTTATTAGTTTTAGTTACTTCAATGCTATTATATTTAGCTTTATTCCCCCCCTCAGAATTTTAGTACTTCAACAAACAAAAATATGAAATACGTTTGAAATAAGTTTAAGTTTTTCATTGAACATTTAGATTTCATTTTGTTTTTATTCATGCTCTATTCCATCATTTTTACATCTCCGTTTTTTATTTCATAATTTTTTTCAGAGTTTTCACAGACTGTGATGATGCAACTCCAGTTACTAACATTGTAAATCTATCGTTCTTCAATATTTTTTTAATGAATATTTATACAACTATTCACACTTTATTTGTTATATATATATATATATATATATATATATTTTTTTTTTTTAGAAGGTCATAGAAATGCTATTGTGGATTTTATGTATTGCTATTGGATCAAACAGGAACTCAAAAATTATATTTTTTATATATACATATACAGATGTTTGCCCAACTATGACGACTTCCGCTTCTTGAAATGTAAAGAAGGTCCATTAACATATTAATTCATGACATTTAATTAATTTGTGATTGTGTTTAATGCATCAAATGACTCTTACATAACTGATATTGACATCATCATCACACTGCAAGTGCAAACTATCGACTTTTTCTTCAGAGAAACGCTATCATTGATCATTATTTGTTCATTTCTATCTGACCCGTGAGATGATTAGAGATGTTCTCGTCATCGCAGCGGTTTACCTCGATCTCGCGCAGGAGCTCGGACTGGCCGCAGGTCTCCAGGTCTTCCAGGGCCTGGCACCAGAAACTGTCCTCCTGCTCCATCATGAGGCCGTCGGCATGCGGCTGGCTGCTGTATCTGCAGCAGAAGCACACATTACAGCCAATGAGGCATGAGGCAAATAGCCGTTGCTGTTGGTTGCTGGTGTTTTGAAAGACTATACATACAGACAAATCATTTGAGTGTAAAACTGTAAGCAGTTACCACAGTCATTTAAATATAACAATCGGTGTTATTTATGTACTATTATATTATTTATTGTTATTCTGAATCATTATTAACAGTGTTTTAGCATAATTAACAGTATATATATATATATATATATATATATATATATATATATATATATATATATATATATATATATATATATAAACGCAACACTTTTGTTTTTGCCCCCATTTTTCATGAGCTGAACTCAAAGATCTAAGACTTTTTCTATGTACACAAAAGGCCTATTTCTCTCAAAGAGAGAAATCTGTCTAAATCTGTGTTGGTGAGCACTTCTCCTTTTTCGAGACAATCCATCCACCTCACAGGTGTGGCATATCAAGATGCTGATTAGACAGCATGATTATTGCACAGGTGTGCCTTAGGCTGGCCACAATAAAAGGTCACTCTAAAATGTGAAGTTTTATCACACAGCACAATGCCACAGATGTCGCAAGTTTTGAGGGAGCGTGCAATTGGCATGCTGACTGCAGGAATGTCCACCAGAGCTGTTGCCCGTGAATTGAATGTTCATTTCTCTACCATAAGCCGTCTCCACAGGCATTTCAGAGAATTTGGCAGTACATCCAACCGGCCTCACAACCGCAGACCACGTGTAACCGCACCAGCCCAGGACCTCCACATCCAGCATCTTCATCTCCAAGATCGTCTGAGACCAGCCACCCGGACAGCTGCTACAACAATCGGTTTGTATAACCAAAGAATTTCTGCACAAACTGTCAGAAACCATCTCAGGGAAGCTCATCTGCATGCTCGTCGTCCTCATCGGCGTCTCGACCTGACTGCAGTTCGTCGTCGTAACCAACTTGAGATCCTGAGGCCCATTGTTGTGCCATTCATCCACGACCATCACCTCATGTTGCAGCATGATAATGGACGGCCCCATGTTGCAAGGATCTGTACACAATTCCTGGAAGCTGAAAACATCCCAGTTCTTGCATGGCCAGCATACTCACCGGACATGTCACCCATTGAGCATGTTTGGTATGCTCTGGAACGGCGTATACGACAGCGTGTTCCAGTTCCTGCCAATATCCAGCAACTTCGCACAGCCATTGAAGAGGAGTGGACCAACATTACACAGGCCACAATCAACAACCTGATCAACTCTATGCGAAGGAGATGTGTTGCACTGCGTGAGGCAAATGGTATACATATATACATTTGCAAATGTATATATATATACACTACCAGTCAAAAGCTTTTGAACAGTAAGATTTTTTTATGTTTTTTAAAGAAGTCTATTCTGCTCACCAAGCCTGCATACATTTGATCCAAAAATACAGCAAAATTCTATTTGAATATATTTTAAAATGTAATTTATTCCTGTGATGACAATGCTAATTTATATATATATATATACACACACACACACATATTTATATACACATACATACATATACGTATGTATATATGTATATTAGTATATATATATTTATTAATATAGATATATTTTCTTGACTCCTATCACTAAGCAAACAGCTTGACTTTTCTATAAGTCTTTTACTTCTCTATTTTTTTCTTGTATGTGACAGAGATGTGCTACATAGATATGTTATGAATGACAAATCTAGTGAAGAATGAAAAAAATATAAATGTTAAATTAATTATGTTAAATTAAAGAATGGAAGAGGAATTAAGACAACTAAATACACCGATAATTGATTCTGCTTATAATAAAATACTTATAAGATTGATTTAGAGTGAATGGGGAAAAAAAGAAGAAGCATTTTTTAAACACCAAATATTTAGTTCATTTCTTTATATGACTAGAATATACAGACGTGTAAAAATATATTTACTCTAAAATAAGTTCTAGCAATTTGTATGTGTAGTTTTTATTCATTTTTCATAATTTCTTAAATATTTCAATTAGCTTTCAAAGTTTTGGTCATTTTAGTACAGTACTTTGACTTTGACATTTTTTCTTGACCAAAAAAACAAACAAAAAATAATAATAAAATAAATGTAAGTTTCATTAACTTTACGTTTCTTATCGAATATTTCAATATTTTTTTCAGCTTCATTTCAATCACCAAAAATGTTTTTTAATAGTAGTAATTTACAATAAGAACACTGAAAACAAAGCAGCATTGCACACGCTTGTGTACAGCGTCCCGTCTCACCCGGCAGCTTTGTCCCAGTCGTCCTCACTGAATCCCGCGTCACTGAAGGGATAGTTCTTGTGGCGGGACGGAGGAGGTGTGCTGTTCCTCTGCTTGCTGTTACGCCACTCGTGAGGGTGTAGCGCAATCCCAGCGGCCTGATGCGTGTAGCCACCTTCGGAGGAGCATCAGGTCACATGTTTGACTGAGAGGCTGTCAGTAGATATATAATATCGGCCCGGCGTGAGGAGAGTGCACTCACCTTGGCTGCTGTAACCGCCGTCGATTCCCGAGCCGTCCCACGACTCCATGGCCGAATCCACGCTGGGGATGGTGGTGGAATAAATGTCCGACAGTTTGTTGGTCTTCTGCGAGTCGGTCATGTCGTCCTCGTTATCGCTGAGCTCGTTATCCAGATCGTTCTCTTTATTTTGATCATCTGGTGCTGAAGGGGGAATGACAGTTATCAGATCTTTTTTAAAGGTGTCCTTGTTACACGTTACATGTACTTACTATTATAGTAACAATTAATTATGCATAATTACATACAAATAACCCTAATCCTAGACGGGTGCTAGGTTGGGGGGAGCTGTTGTACTTTTCCAAAACCTAACCATAGAGTAAGTACATGTAGTTAATTAGTATTACTCAGTACTTAAATGTATGTTACACAATGTTACACTATACTTAAAAGTTGATTTACACTGTAACAATGATACCTTAAAATAAAGAGTAACCCAGATTTGTATGCATTAAAAAAAAACAGGTGTTTTGTGTAAAATGGTGAATGTCTGGATTTCATTGTTAATACAGATAATTTAGGCAATAGGTCAGTATTTAGGTGGCAAGTCAATGTTTTTTTATTTATTTTTTGATTAATTAAAACTTCTTGATTATGATGATTAATGAAATACTTCGATAATTTGATGATCGAAAGCTACTCTATTAGTGAAAGCGTTTTGCCCCAATCCATATAATTGCTTATAATTAATTATATTATTCATTATAATTAAATATAATTAATATCAATGTATAGAAAACAAATAATAATATATAATAAAATAATAATGTAAATTATCTAAATTATATGCAATTATATTTATTACAATTTATTGGGTGAAATTGTTCACTAATAGAATAGCTTATCAAATTTTCATAGTCAGAAGATGCCAAAATGGGGGTGAAATGTATATTATGATATATTATAGAATTATATATATATGTGTGTGTTATATATAATTATATTATATAACACACACACACACACACACACACACACTTCATTTTTGTTGCATCCTTACTGTCAGTTTGTTTGTTTGTTTGTTTATTTATTACTACTGATAATTATGAGCAGCCAAACAATTACTATTTTAATAAAACTAGAATTTTTTAAATTATAGTTATTAAATTATGGGGACAAAATACTTTCACTAATACAGTATCTTATCAACTAGTAGTACTACTGTTAGTAATCAATTAATGTTTTTATAACAATAGTAATATGAATAGTAATGATAATAATAATAATAATGATGATGATGATGATAATAAGAATCTATTTAATACTACTTTATGATTTTCTAAGTATATTTTTTTAAATACATTTTTATTATTTATCTTATATCTTAATGTATCTTATTAAATAACCAGAAGACCCCAAAATGGGGAAAATGAGGGGAGAAATATATTATATTATATTAAATGCCTATTTTAGAAATGCATTATATTATATTACATTATATTATATGAAAAGATAAATAAAACATATAAAATATACTATATATTTTCCCCTAAAGAAAATAAGGCCTATTTTAAAAATATAATAGAATATAAAATGTATTATATTATATTATTATCTTATATTATGAAAAGATAAATAAAACATATAAAAACATATGATATATATTTCCCCCTAAAGAAAACAAGGGCTATTGTGCATGCAGTAGCATAACGTGCATCCAGTAGTGTATAGTGTGAGTCGTACTGTCGGTCTGCTTCTTGATCTTGAGGGTGACGGTTTCTCCTGCCATCTGCAGCAGGTGTATGGCTTCACTGAGCGGCTTCCCCTTCAGACTGACGCTGTTGATGGCCAGAATACGATCGCCAACGTGAATGGCTCCAGTCCTGTGAGAACAGACAACAACCACACAATCAGAAACTCCTCAGAGCTTCTGCAGCCGTGGACAATAAACCTTCTTCAAACAGACTTTCAAAATCGACACCGGACACACAAAGTGTCCAAAAATGAAGAAACAAGTGTGTATTTCTGAGTGCACTTTGAAGGATTGCATATTTGGAGCTCGCATTACCAATACATGTTTGGCCTCAGTAGGTGTGTGTGTGTGTGTGTGTGGTAGAGAGTCTTTAATGGTCAATTCATACAGAAGACTGCCTTTTATCAGGATCAGCAAATAAATGTAATAACCCATTTATGAGAACCTGGCATATATCATTTTAGAATCACAGACGCCGCTTTTCTTTGCAAACCAAACTGGACACAGTTATGAGTAGAACACTCTAGCAGGGCTGTCAACATCAACAAATGACAAAAACCATTCATAGAAGCATTATGGCCTGTGTGCTAAATAATAATAATAATAATAATAATAATAATAATAATAATAATATACTTGTTTTTTAAGCAAAATATTTAATATGACTGAATAAACTATTATCCTTTGAACTATTTATAGCAATATTTATATAACAATATTTAATTAAATTAATTAATAATAATTTAATAATAATTTATGCATTTAGCAGATGCTTTTATCCAAAGCGACTTACAGTGCATTCAGACTATACATTTTTTACCAGTATGTGTATTTATATTTATATTAATAACTAGTTATAACATTATTTAATTCATAACAATGATAACATAATTCTATAAACATTATTACACATTATAACGCAATATATAATTATAAATATAATATATAATTATAACACAAACATTATTATTACTATTATTAATAATAATAATAATAATAATAATAATAATAATTTCATTTAAATTTAAGTATTCTATTCAAATGAAAATATTTAGTATGACTTGATCACCTTAATAATAATAATAATAATAATAATTTGTATTATTATTATTATTATTATTATTATTATTATTATTATTAATATTATTAAATACCACTGTTAATTATGAGTAATCAATAAATCCACATAGACTGGGTTTTATTCACATAAAAATATTTAATACCGCTTAATTACCCTTATTATTATCATCATCATCATTATTATTATTATTATTAATACTACTACTACTACTGTTAATTAGGAGTAATTAATAATTACAAATTGACAGGTTTTATTAAACTATTATGTATTTTTAATTTATTATTATTAGTATTATTACTACTACTACTAAAACTACAACTACAGTTAATCAATAATTCCAAATTGACTGGTTTTATTTACATAAAAAATGTATTTAGCTGAAATACCCTGATTATTATTATTATTATTATTATTTATATTTTATAATAACGATGATGATGATGATGATAATAATAATTATTATTATTATTATCAGTATTAATATTTTTTAATTATTAGTATTATTATTATTATTATTATTATTATTATATGTATTAATATTAAAAAAAAATATATATATTATCAGTTAATATTTTAAAATTATTATTATTATTATTATTATTATTATTATTATTATCTGTATTCATATTTTAAAATTATTATAATAATTATTATTATCTGTATTCATATTTTTTAATTATTATTATTATCATATGTATTAATATTTTAAATTATTATAACAATGATTATTATCTGTATCAATATTTTTAAATTATTATTATTATTAGTATTAATATTTTTACTTATTATTATTATTATTATTATTATCTGTATTGATATTTTTTAATTATTATTATAATTATTATAGTCTGTATTAATATCTTTTAATTATTATTATTATTATTATTATTATTATTATTATCATCATCATCGGTATTAATATTTTAAAATTAGTACTATTATTATTATTATTATTATTGCCACTGTTAATTAAGTAATTAATTCTAAGAGTCAGAAAGAGAGAGGGCAGCATATGCGCATCTAGTGTGAGGGCAGCTGAGGTGGATACATGTGGATATGGGAAGCCAAACACACTGAATGTGGACGAAACAGCGCAGTGAAGAAACAGCCAGTTTTCTGCCGAGCAGTGATGAATCAGGAAAAGTGCTCTGAGCCGTGCTGGTGAGATTAGGTTGATTGAGCTCTGTAACATCGCTCCGTTCGCTCTCACATCTGGTGTGTTTGGCGTCCCGTATGGGCAGGTTTAGGCTGGATCTGTGTCCCGTGGCTCACCTCTCAGCGAGACCCCTCTTGGTCAGGCCTGAGATGATGATGGGGTCAAAGGGCTCCTCGGTGCCGGAGATGGTGATGCCCAGCGGGCCGCCGTAGCGCTTCAGCTCCACCGTGTAGATGATGGAGCCGGACGACTCCTGCTCGTCTGCACAGAGGACACGCTTCTGCTGTCACATATCATTCTGAGGACACTAGATTCTGCTGACACGCATTCATATCAACACATTATGGATATTCAATGAATAATTGAACATTGTGAACAGAAGAGCTCGGTGTTTGATTCGCTCTTGGAGCTGCAAAACAGGCCAAACAAAGACAGTTTCACTTCAAAGCAACGATAAGACGCTTCGCTTCATCTGCTGCTCTGACCACAGACTGTGTTTTACCTCTTAACAGAAAATCAGCAACGACTGATCTCTGTCTGTCATGTCCACAAAAATGTACTACATAACTCCCATTCGTGTCATTTGTATAGTTTTGAATCGTTTTTTCCATTGTTCTCAGTGTGGAAACTAGCAATAATAAAGAACGAGTAGGAGTGGCCAATGTTTTGATTGACAGGATTTATTTGTTATTATGGTTGCATCCTTGAACTATTTGGCATTTGAAGTAGATTAAATCAATAAGCCCCGTGAAGCCGTGGTGAATTTATACTGTATATAATTTATATGAGTGCCTAAAACCCCCTTAGCCGTTATAAATTCACTGTAAACCACGGCTTCACGGGGCTTATTGCTTTTATAAAACGGTTATTCCATATATACGTAGTAAGGTTTCACAAAATAAAACAGAGCAAATAAAGTGTAATGATATTAATAAAAACAGTATTCTTCCAGCAAACAATGTAGTTCCTTAGCATCAGCTGTGGTTGCAACAAAGTGGTTGCCGAGCAACACACAAACGTAAACAAAGGTGTATGTTTGTAGAGTAATTTACGACAGCTTCGAACGTGGCTCAGCCAATCAGAATCAAGGACCGGAACTATACGTTTTATAAATGCTGTAATATACTGACACCTGGCGGTCAAATGTTGGATTACACATTGACATGCTTTCAGTATGATTTTCAAATTAGATGTTTAAAATCAAAATAGGGTCGGATATTTTATTTCGGATTGATTGATTAATTTTGGAATAACTTGGATAAGCCGACCAGGTCATATTTCATCCTATATTTCTAACAGACAAACACTAAACTAAACTAAATGCATTTATATTTTCTTTTGTATTTTATTGTTGTATTTTATTTTTATCAATATAAATGCTAAAAAAAAAAAAAAAATGACAATTTAAAATAAAAAGTTTATATTTCTAAGAGGCAAAAACAACCATGTACAAATAAAATATGAACAAATATAACTATAACATATATTTCTAATTCTATAAAATATAGTATTTTGCATAAAGAAAGCCTATTTGTGGACCACAAACATTTGTATGCAATACATAATGAGGATAATAATGTACTATTTACTTTTAAACCATGCACTCTTATCATGCTAAAACAAAATATTGATTTAAGTTTTATTTGAATCTTTATCATTTGGCATCATAATTTATAAAAATGTAATGATGAATGCGAAACATGTTAAGACTTTATGATGATAAATTATAAAATGAAAAAGGATTCACATTTCCAATAGTCTAAAATACCCATATATAAGATAAATAAATAAAAGATACTATTAAACAGTATTTTGCATAAAGAAAGCCTATTTATAGAACGATGGACATTTTTTATGCAATGTATGTAATGAGGATAATAATGTACTATATTATTTAAATAGTAAACTCTAACCATGATAATATTTGCCGTACTGTTTTTAATTTATGCTGAGATCAATTTAAAAGAAAAGTGCTTTTCATTAATGAATTCTAACAGCATGAATCTCAAATGAAAATCAAAACTCCAAAACATACAAATGCATTACAGTAATGAGGCTTTAGCAAAATAATGGGAGGAAAATAATATCACAATGCAAAACAATGCCCCCTATATGATACAATGTCCTGTTTTTTTCCTTTTAAATATGAAACACGCCCTTCACAAGTTCTTGGCATGTTCTGAAGCTGGACACGCGCGCACACACACACACACACACACACACACACACCTGAGTTGTCCTCATCCTTGCGGATTTTGAGTTTGACCAGGTCTTCGCTCTGCTGGAGGATCTGGACGGCGTCCTCCATGCAGCAGTTCTCCAGACGGATGTTATCTATGGCCAGCAGCTTGTCTCCGGGCTCCAGAGTTCCTGTTCTGCAGGAAGAAACCATGAAACGCGCTTCAGTCTCACAAACAAACACTGGACACATCTGTGGAGTGAGTGAGCCAACAACTAAGTGTGTCCTTGACTTTCTGCAACGCAAAGTTGCAAAGAGGTTTTTCAACAAACAAGAAAAGGTATTTATATTTCTAAGAGACAAAAACAAGAATATAAAACGCATTCTAGAATATAT